ATTGTACAAAAATACGAGGGAGTGGTTGACACATCGTCTGTGTGACTTCGTTTATGCTGGAGTGAACATTAGTCTCCCTGCTCTTCCAAACATTTCACAATAATTCATTGTGTTTGGTGCTTGTAGATTGAGTGTGACTGGAGTGGTAGAGGCAGTGATTGAGGCAATGGTATTTAATAACATACATCTTAATAATAATACATGTTATTAATAATATGTACTATTATAATTTATAACATATGTTATTAAATACATACATGTTAATAATAATACATGTTATTAATAATAACATGTACTATTATTATTTATAACATATGTTATTAAATACCACTGCCTCAACCGCTGAATTATTGTGAAATGTTTGGAAGAGCAGGGAGACTAATGTTCACTCCAGCATAAACAAAGTCACACTGACGATGTGTCAACCACTCCGTCGTATTTTTGTACAATTTCCTTCTTCAATTATATCGTATTTATTATTATTATTATTATTATTATTATTATTATTATTATTATTATTATTATTGTTATTACTATTGTTATTATTAGCAATAGCAGAAATGTTCGATTCTTTGCTGTGTTCAAGAGTAAACACATGATGTCACAGTCTAATACCTTTCCTAATAGCCATTCAATATGCAGTCATGAATGGGTTTACATTATTTATTCTGTAGTTTAATAGCAAATAATGAACAAACAAAACACTCACCACACTGAGTGGTGGGAGGGCTGGCTGCCAGTTGCGGGGGTCGGAGGGAGGGTAGTAGGGACTCGCAGTGGTAGAGGCAGTGGTGGAGTCTGTGGTATATAATAACATACATGTTATTAACATACATGTTATTAAATAACATACATTATTAAAGTATAACATGTATACTATATTTAGTACAATTTACGACGTTTTCATGTATTTTATGATTATTCATGGTTCAACAAGTTAAGGAAGCAGTATTGTAATATATTTCCCTACAATATATTGGGGCACCAAACATTCACGGTTTTTCAACATTCGCGAGGCTCTTGATTCCCTAACCCTCGCGAATGTTGAGGGAGACCTGTACTCCATTTTCTCTAATATAAGCCACCAAGACAAGGATAGGAGAATAGTATTTGTTTACCATATCCTCTTCATACCTCCGTCGAACTGCTCGGTGTTATGCCAAATATTATTCATTCTGGAGTATTTAACATGTTTTATGTTATTTATATTGTTTCTTATGTCATATTAGATCAATTGTGATAGGCAAATAAGCTGTAGTGTTGATATTAGCGTAACAATAAAGTATATTCTCCTGCTTCATGAGACTGTGCTCATGACAACTGACAGTGGCTTCAAAGCCACCTTATCTTTAATGGATAATGTACTGTGTAGGTGCTTTACATAATGAGAAGCATTTCTTTTATTCATTGGAACCATGGCTAGGGCTAAAAGTAAGCAGGTTAAAACAATAAATGGAGAAAAAGAAATTGGAATGACTTATGCAGCAAGTAGCGCCACCAAACAGTACCAGCAGGTTGGTGTGGCGACCCTGGAAATTTGAAATTATGCTAGCCAAAATTAGTGCCGAATAACTGAAGGAACCGAATAACTGATTGCCGGATTTGTGATGGCAGACCTGTAGTTAGACAATCAAGATGAACTATGAGCACTGAATATATATAAATGTTACATCCTACCTAGTAACATAACTAAGTCAAATAATAATATAAAGCAGTATATTTACAATTTAGCTATTATCGCAAATATAAGCAATATAAAATTATATGAAAAGGTAATATACATTATATACATTGTGACCCATTCAGGGGTTGCAACACACCCTCTACCACATTCACAACCACTACCACACTCTACCACCACAACCAGTACCACCCTCTACTACCATCACAACCACTACCACCCTCTACCATCACAACCACTACCACCCTCCACCAATATCACAATCACTACCACCCTCTACCATCACAACCACCCTCTACCACAATCACTACCACCCTCCACCACTATCACAACTACTACCACCCTCTACCACTATCACTACCACCCTGTACCACTATCACAACCACTACCACCCTCTACCACAATCACAACCACTACCACCCTCTACCACAATCACTACCACCATCACAACCACTACCACCTTCTACCACTATCACCATCACAACCACTTTCCTATATTTCTACAATATCTTTCTTTAATTCTATCGTGTTTGTCACCTTCTTTACCAAAAGACTGGCACTAGCTTTCTTTGGGTCCATGGTGGCTTATTTAGCAGTTGCAAGCACTAAAACGAATAGAATATTACGAATTGTATCATATGAACGCCTGGAATTGTGCTCACTCGCTGATAAACCGTGGCACACTGACTGTAAATGGTGTGTGGGGCCGCTTTGGACGTTCGTACAAGTAGAGAGTTTCTCTACTTTCTGAGCCCGGCCATGGGCCAGGCTTGTTTTGGTGCTTTCCTGGTCAACAAAGCTGTTGCTGCTGAAGGCCTGCTGCCCCACATATCCACCACAGCCTGGTTGATCTGGCACCTGATGAAGGTACTTGTCCAGTTTCCTCTTGAAGGCTTCTTTCTACACTTGTTCCAGCCATGTTTCATATCTTCTGGTAAGATGTTGAATAGTCTGGGACCTCGGATGTTGGTACAGTGTTCCCTTATTGTCCCCACCGCACCCCTGCTCCTCACTGGGTTTATTACTAAATTTAGAAAGAGAAACTTTTGTTTTTCTTTTTGGACCACCCTTGATTGGTGGGGTATGTCTGGTTTGTCAAAAGAAGAATATATAAGCAATTAATTAGGTATTATCATTTTAGTCTTAAGATAGATTTAAGTTTGCCTGAAATGCTCTGCATACTAAAGAGCTTTCTGCATGCACACTTAAATGTCACTCATCTCTGTATAAACATTGTTATACTGAAATAAAGATTGACTCACACAGTATGTATTTTATTACTGTTACTACAAAGAATAAGTTCAAATTCGAGTTTATTGCCACATGATACATTGTTTATAGAGAAATAGGTAACACTTGAATGCATGTAGAAAGCTCATGGTAATGCAGAGCATTTCAGGCAAACTTAAGTTTGACTTAAGACTACAAGGGCAATAAACATTACATATATGTATTTAAGGAGACTAAATCTATACAAATAAGCTTGTATAAGTGAGTGTATAATGAATGTATATGTTAGTAGATTAAATATATCATTGTACATGATTATTGGAAAAATTATTTGTGTTATTGTCTAGTAAGTTTATAGGCACATTTTTTTACACTTGATGACATTGTACATACTCTCTATACTCTCTACATTAGTAGACTAATCAACCATCCAGAGAGGTGCTATTGGCCTGTCATATATTTATAAATGTCGATGAAGAAAGGACTCAATAATTTCATGCACTGGCCAGGGAAGTATAATATTTTTTAGGAATGAAGAAGAGCAGGATATTTGTGTGGGGGAGGTACATGAGGCATTATGTAGAATGAAAGAGGGTAAAGCGCAGGAACTTACATGATCATGACAGAAATGTTAAAAGCAAGGGAGGATATAGTGTTGGAGTGGTTGATATTTTTGTGTAATGAATGTATGAAAGAAGGGAAGGTACCTAGGGATTGGCAGAGTGTGTGTGTAATTCCTGTATGTAAAGGGAAGGGGGAAAAAAGAGATTGTAAAAGTTATAGGGGAATAAGTTTATTGAGTACCCAAGTAAAGTGTACGGTAGGGTTATTATTGAAAGAATCAGAGGTAAGACAGAGAGCAGGATTGCAGATGAGCAAGGAGACTTTAGAATGGGTAGGGGATGTGTAGATCAAGTGTTTACATTGAAGCATATATGTGAACAGTATTTAGATAATGGTAGGGAGGTTTTCATTGCATTTATGGATTTAGAAAAGGCACATGCTAGAGTGGATAGGGGAGCAATGTGGCAGATGTTGCAAGTGTATGTAATAGGTAGTAAGTTACTAAATGCTGTAAAGAGTTCTTATGAGGATAGTGAGGCTCAGGTTAGAGTGTGTAGGAGAGAGGGAGACTACTTTGCAGGAAAAGTAGGTCTTTGGCAAGGATGTGTGATGTCACCATCAAGAATGTGTGATGTCACCATATTTATAGATGGAGTTAGGAAGAGTATAGAAGAAGGGAATGTTCATAAACCAATCCGCTGACTTGTCAGCAGATGGGTTTATGAACGAAGAGGTAAGCCATAGAATTGATGAAGGAAAAAAGATAAGTGGTGTGTTGAGGTATCTGTGGAAACAAAGAAAGTTATCCATGGAGGCAAAGAAGTGAATATACGAGAGTATAGTGGTAAATGCTGAAGCAAGGAGGCAGCTGGAGGCAGTGGAGATGTCATGTCTAAGGGCAATGCGTAGTGTAAATATTATACAGAAAATTCATAGTGTGGAAATTAGGAGGAGGTGCGGGATTACCAAAACTATTATCCAGAGGGATGAGGAGGGATTGTTGAGGTGATTTGGACATGATGAGAGGATGGAACAAACTAAAATAACTTCAGGAGTATATAAATCTATAGTGGAGGGAAGGCGGGGTATAGGTCGGCCTAGGAAAGGTTGGAGGGAAGGGGTAGAGGGGGTTTTGTGTGCGAGGGGCTTGGACTTCCAGCAAGCATGCATGAGCATGTTAGATAGGAGTGAATGGAGTCAAATGGCTTTTAGGACTTGACATGCTGTTGGAGTGTGAGGAGGGTAATATTTATGAAGAGATTCAGGGAAACCCGCAGGCTGGACTTAGTCCTGGAGATGGGAAGTACAGTGTCTGTTCTCTGAAGGAGGGGTGTTAATATTGCAGTTTTATAACTGTAGTGTAAGCATGCTTCTGGCAAGACAGTAATGGTGTGAATGATGGTGCAAGTTTTTCTTTTTTGGGCCACCCTACCTTGGTGGGAAATGCTCGATGTATTAATAATAATAATAATCATAATCCACTTTTAATAGTCAATACCTGATGAAACATTTGGTATTCTTTCAGACCTTCGACAAGATATGCTGACCCTCCAGGTTATTGGCATTATGGCTCAGTTGTGGAACAATGAGGGGCTTGATCTGCGCATGATGCCATATTCTTGTTTGGCCATGGGCAAACAGGTGGGGGTTATAGAGGTGGTGCGTAATGCCAAGACTGTGTACAGCATCCAGAGCAGCTCCAAGCTGGGGGCCATCCAGGTAGACTCCTCACAGCTCTACAAGTGGATCCGGGATAAAAACAAAGGTCTCAGGTAAGCTGAATAACAAATGTCTCAGATGAGCTGAATAACAAAGTTCTCAGGTGAGCAGAATAACTAAGGTCTCAGATGAACTGAATAACAAAGGTCTCAGGTGAGGTGAATAACAAAGGTCTCAGGTGAGCTGAATAACAAAAGTCTCAGGTGAGCTTCAAAATATCTAATGGTTGTGATTTCTTTTATCTTTTAGATGCTGGTCTCTAGAGATTAACTGACTGGGATATAAGATGCTATTTGTCATTACCTATATGAGTTTGCCGGGGGGAGGTATGTGGGGTGAACCTTGCTTTTTTATCCCATCTCTCAGCTACCATGATCGAACCATGTTATGTCTATTTTTGAACTCATCTGTGAAGTTCATTTGCTCCACTTACTCCATTTACCGCTCTATTACCAAATGAAGAGCCTATGTCTAGCGCAAACTTGTTTTGACCAACGCTCTACTTTCTATGCAGATCCTGTTTACTACATATATACGAATAGTAATTTTGCTCTATGAGACATGATACATAGTAAAAATAGTATTTACAATATGTGCTTTCTCTGATTAACCCTTTAGGTGTCAGTCCCTTTATATAACGGCTTTGAAGCCAGTGTCAATCCTGTAGTACTACTACGCCATGAGCTCAGCTCACTCAGATAAGCTGTGAGTGGTAAATTAGGGCCTAGGTATGAGAGAATGTGTATGTGATAAAAGTGCACCATATAAAAAATCCTGCAGCATGCAGTACGTAATGAGAAAAAACTGCAATCGTGCTTTTGGTTTAAAACGGCAACTTTGTGGTGTATTTTTGTATGGTTTTTATGGCTGTATTCTCAGTTTTTGGTCTCATTCAATAGAATGGAAGATATATTGCATAAATAGAGATGATTTTGATTGGTTTCAGGAATGAAAGTAGCTTGTAACTGAGCTCAAAGTAATGGAACTGCTCGATTTTTGCCAATATTCCTGAGTACACAAATGATGTCACTTGTCCAATAAGTGTCCTGTTTGCCAGACTGATATGCATTTAGGAATACACTGACATTACTATTCTACTGTACAACTATGATATATTCCTTAGTGTTAAGTAGTCTGTAAGCCAATAATGTTAAGTTGGCCCATAATGCCTAGGCATAATAGAGGCTCTCTTTGCATTGCAACCCACTATTGTAAATACAAAATCTCAATGTACTGTTTGCAAAGACATAAAATAAATAAATAATAAATTATTTATACAATTATTACAGTTATGCAGCAGTCTTCATAACAGTAAATCTTCAATTTTTTGTGTGAATAAATTTTCAAAATGGAAGGCAAGCATAATATAAGAGGGGCCTAGAGACATGACTAATGAACAGAGGAAATTTTTTTTAGTGCTAGGAATGTCCACATTGTTTATTCTGGACCCTATTTTTAAATTGGCAATATTTTAATTTTGTGTGAAATTGGCCAAATTACTGATTTCTGATCACTTTATCGAGTAGTTGAAATAGGTAAATGGGCAGTTTCTTGTACTCTATCGATAGAATAGAAGGAATACTAGTGAAATAGCCATAGATTTTGTCAATTAGAACAGTAGAATTGGCCAGAAATAGGGCACAAATTGAGCAAAATAGCCGATGCATAAATATTGCCGAGACCGCTAACTTTGCGAGAGCGTAATTCCATAAGTTTTCCATCAAATTCATGCTTTTGATTTCATCACCTTTGGAAAAAGATTATCATTTCATAAGATAATTTTTTTTGTTTTATAAATTCTTTGGCCCTGAGAGCAAGTTTGAGAGTCCCTTATCCCTTACAGGGTTAAGGGACCAAAAATTACATCTATGAAGTTAAGTTCTGAAATTTGAAGACAGTGTACAGGTGCTCCTTGACTTACAACGACGTTAGGTTCCGATTGACCCATCGTAAGTCAAACACGAATAAAATATGATAAATAAGTAAATAAATAACTTCTGTCACTTAAGTAAATTTATGAATAATTACTGTAATTAACTAAATACAAGTATTAAAAAGTAAATAAATGAATGCAAGTTAGAGACTTGTAACCTTATCTTAGGTTTCATCTAGAGTGTACAGCCTCTCCTCATTTAGTGACGTACTTGTTTACCGATGACTCAGACTTACGATGGACTCTCTGACCAGTATGCGTACCTAAATAATGTATATTAGAGCTGATTTCCTCTAATCTGTTTATTACAATATACAGTACACTGCTGTATAAACACTTAAAAATATACCAGAAATGTTGTAAATGGTGCAAATGTGACATTAAAACAATATCAAAGACTGTTGACACAAACCCACTACCATTATAGAATGCTCCTCACTTAGCAACGAATTAATTTACCAATGTTGTCTTACAAATGGAACTCTGTCGTTAAGTGAGGAGAGGCTGTAATTGCTTCTACTCCATTGTAAAGTCAAAATATCATAAGTTGAACCATCATAAATCGAGCATCTGTAGATGGGTGACATGTCTTTACAGCGAAAAAAATTTACATGACAAAAATCAATATATAGTCTCTCCTCACTTAATGATGTACTTGTTTAACGACCGCTCAGACTTACGACCAGCTCTCTGACCAGTATGCATGCCTTTGTAATGTATATTAGTGCTGATTTCCTCTGTTCTGTTTATTACAATGTACAGTACACTACTGTATAAACATTTAAAAAATATGTTAAAAACATTATAAATGGTATGGTGCAAAGGTGACATTAAAACAATAAAGATGGTCGACACAAACCCAATACCAGTATAGTACAGTAGACCGCCATTTAGCACGGTAGTTACATTCCTGAAAATGCTGTGTTAGGTAAAATTGTCAGATGAACTGAAGAACTTATGGGAAAAATATGGTTACATTCCTGGGAGCCCCCAAAAAGCCAAACAACTTTTTTTTAGGCCTCCACATCTTACAAAAATTAAAGTGAATATTTAGTTTTAGTTCATTGTTATGATGTATTATGTTGTTTTTACTGCTTAAGACTACAAATGTAACAGAAATAATAGTATTTCTTACCTTAAATTGTGAGTGCTGGTGTTTGTGGATGATTGTGAAGAGAGTGGAGAGTTATGTTGTGGTCCTACTGGGCTGAGGTGGATGGTAGAGGTTCTGGTACTGAAGTTGATGGTTGTACTGGAGTGTCGAACTTTAAGTCATTCTGTCAGTCAGTCAAGTCACTCAGTAAGTCAGCCAGTCAAGTCACTCAGTAAGTCAATCAAGTCACTCAGTAAGTCAGTCAAGTCACTCAGTAAGTCAATCAAGTCACTCAGTAAGTCAGTCAAGTCACTCAGTAAGTCAGTCAAGTCATTTAGTAAGTCAGTCAAGTCACTCAGTAAGTCAGTCAAGTCATTTAGTAAGTCAGTCAAGTCACTCAGTAAGTCAGTCAAGTCATTTAGTAAGTCAGTCAAAGTCACTCAGTAAGTGACACAGTAAGTCAGTCAAGTAATTCAGTAAGTCAGTCAAGTCATTCAGTAAATCAGTCAAGTCACTCAGTTAATCAGTCAAGCCACTAAGTCAGCCAAATCACTATGTAAGTCAGTCAAATCAGTAATTCAGTCAAGTCACTCAGTAAGTCAGTAAAGTCACTCAGTAAGTCAGTCAGGGCATTCATTAAGTCAGTCAAGGCATTCAGTAAGTCAGTCAAGTAACTCAGTAAGTCAGTCAAGTCGTTTAGGTAAGACACATATGCAACAGTTAGGTATCTTTATTTCGAAACGTTTCGCCTACACAGTAGGCTTCTTCAGTCGAGTACAGTATAAAATGGTATAAAATGCCGACAGGTTGTTAGGTAAGACACATATGCAACAGTTAGATATCTTTATTTCGAAACGTTTCGCCTACACAGTAGGCTTCTTCAGTCGAGTACAGCAAAGTTGATAGAAGCAGAAGAGACTTGAAGACGATGTGATCAGTCTATCACCCTCGAAGTTTTGAGGTGGTCAGTCCCTCAGTCTGGAGAAGAGTATTGTTCCATAGTCTGGAATAATATGGAGTTGAAGTGATAGGATGGAGCCTTATATAGCGCCAGGAGGCGAGACGTAGGTCACTAGTAGAGTAAGAATGTAGACGTTGAGAGGTCAGGTCCCTCTCAAATTCAGCCATTCTCTCTAGTAGAAGTTGTTGAAGTTGATTCCAAGTCTGTACGAAGATACCCTTGTGTTGCAGTGTCTCACAGAGTGAACAATAAAATGGTATAAAATACCGACAGGTTGTTTAGGTAAGACACATATGCAACAGTTAGATATCTTTATTTCGAAACGTTTCGCCTACACAGTAGGCTTCTTCAACAACTTCTACTAGTGAGAATGGCTGGATTTGAGAGGGACCTGACCTCTCAACGTCTACATTCTTACTCTACTAGTGACCTACGTCTCGCCTCCTGGCGCTATATAAGGCTCCATCCTATCACTTCAACTCCATATTATTCCAGACTATGGAACAATACTCTTCTCCAGACTGAGGGACTGACCACCTCAAAACTTCGAGGGTGATAGACTGATCACATCGTCTTCAAGTCTCTTCTGCTTCTATCAACTTTGCTGTACTCGACTGAAGAAGCCTACTGTGTAGGCGAAACGTTTCGAAATAAAGATATCTAACTGTTGCATATGTGTCTTACCTAACAACCTGTCGGCATTTTATACCATTTTATTGTTCACTCAAGTCAGTCAAGTCATTCGGTAAGTCAGTCAAGTCATTCATTAAATCAGTCAAGTCATTCAGTAAATCAGTCAGGTCACTCAGTAAGTCAGTCATATCAGTAATTCGGTCAAGTCACTCAGTAAGTCTGTCTAGTCACTCAGTAAGTCAAGTCATTTAGTAGTCAGTCAAGTCACTCAGTAAGTCAGTCAAATCAGTAATTCAGTCAAGTCACTCAGTAAGTCAGTCAAGTCATTTGGTAAGTCATTCAGTAAGTCAGTCAAGTCATTCAGTAAGTCAGTCAAGTCACTCAGTAAGTCAGTCATATCAGTAATTTGGTCAAGTCACTCAGTAAGTCAAGT